TTTATGTGCCTTCTCCACATACAAGTGAGATTCTCTGTGATGCACTTATGAATTGCTTCCTGGATTGGAACTTGGACAGAAAGATATCTACTATTACGGTAGATAATTGTACAACCAATGATGCATTGATTCAGGGTCTTTCGAACAAGTTGTCTATTCGTAGTAAGTCACTTCTCTTGGATGGTAAAATTTTTCATATGCGTTGTGCTGCACATATATTAAACTTGATTGTGAAGGATGGTCTAGATATAATTGGAGGCGCAATTGGGAAAATTCGTGATAGTGTTCACTTTTGGACGGCTAGCCAAGCTAGAGAAGAAAAATTTGTGGAGGCAGCCAGTCAATTAAAAAATCCATGCCATAAAAAACTGTCTCTTGATTGCAAAACTAGATGGAATTCTACATATTTGATGCTTGAAACAGCTATATGTTATAAGGATGTGTTTCCACGATTGAAACAATGTGAGAGACTTTATACATCTTTGCCATCGGAGGAGGAATGGAGCTTAGCACAAGAAATTTGTCGGAGATTGGAACTATTTTATTCTATTACTGAAATTTTCTCTGGGACTCGATTTGTCACCACAAATTGTCTCTTTCCAAAAATTTGTGAGGTAAAATTGGCATTGCGTAGTTGGTGCAATTGTGAGAACGAGGTGGTAAAAAAAATGGCAGCAAGTATGATGGAGAAATTTGATAAGTATTGGAGTGAGTGCCATCTTGTTGCAGGAATAGCAATAGTGTTAGACCCAAGGCATAAAATGACCTTTTTGGAGCATGTTCTTCAGAGGATACATGGGGACGAATATTTCTCTCAAAAAGATCGTGTACGCCAAGCATGTTATGATTTACTTCAAGAGAATCAAGATAGAAGTAAGGAGGGAACTAGTCTAAGTGAAGATCTAAGTGGATTGGCTGCATCTTCAAGCTCTACAAGTAAAGAATGGGACATTTATGCCGAGTATGATATAATTGTTAGTGATTTGTCAAGGATTGGGAATGTGAAATCAGAGTTAGACCATTACTTAGATGAACCTGTCTTGCCACGCACCATGGATTTTAACATTTTAAATTGGTGGGATGCAAATAAGAGTAAGTATCCTACATTGCAGCTAATGGCTCGAGACATCTTGGCTATTCCAGTATCAACTGTCGCATCTGAATCAGCATTTAGTACAAGTGGTAGGTTGGTGAGTCCACATCGCAGTCGACTTAGTCCTGGCCTTATAGAGGCTTTGATGTGTTCTCAATCTTGGTTGTGGAATGATCTAGAAGGTAATGAAATTTTAAATATGCTTTTATATTGAATGTCCCATTTAGTTTTATTCTTTTTCATTTTTTTTTTTTTTAATTTTACACTGTTTTGCAGCAAATGCATCGGCGTCAACTCTTTCTGCTGGAATCTCTCGGTTAACAATCTGTGATGAAGAAAAAGATTAAAAGGCTCCAAGGTATAGTTTTTTTTTTTTTTTTTTTTTTCCTTCCCCCTCCTTTTTGCAGTTTAGTAATATTAACTATTGTTAAATCAATGTATAGTTTTTTGTACAATTAGTCACCATCAATTACTAAAAGAAGATCTGTTTTGATCTTATCTGATATTGTTAGAGTACATGAGTTATGCAAGTATTAAATTAAAATTTAGTGTGCTAATTAGTACTACTATACTTTGATTTATCTTGTATTATCCAGACTTAGGAGAGTGCAGTGTTATAGTTGATAGTTACAGAAGATATTGAGCGTGAAAAAGATGCAGAAATTTGTGTGGAACACCAGACCTTATCAATTAGTAGTAGACACCAATCTGTCTCTATAGGAGCAGCGGTGAGTCTCTTTCATTGGCTTTCTTTTTCTCTCTCAACATCAGTAGCGGCTTTAATGAAGCATTTTAGTGAAGCTGTCTGTGCATATGTGTTAATTGATGAACAGAGAGGCAAGGGGTCACGAATTGTAACGAACATTTGTATTTTTTATTGAAAAGGTACAACTGGTACAAGCTAGGAATTTAGCACACCGGTGTTGAACATAAGATTGTTGTTTTTCAAGACTGCTTGATGATCATTGGAATTATAGTTTTCATATAAATTTTATTTTCTTCAATTTGTTGATATTTTTTTATATATTAAACGATTCATTTGTTCATAATTTTCAGGTTTTGATTAATTCATGAACACTGTGGAAGACATGGGAGATTGCAAATGCCAATAGATCATTTAAGGGATTTAAATCAGTTTTTGTGTTTTTGTTATCTTTTGTTAATTTTAGACTTCAATTTTGAATAATTTGGGATGTAAACTTGCTTTTGTTTTAGTTATGGTGGAAAGTTGGAGCTTAGAACTTGTTATGATTTAGTTGTATTAAACCCTTATTTTTGTTGATTATGTTCTTTGAATTATGCTACGAGCATGCTATTTATTTATTTATTTTTATTGGGATTCATATATGTTATGTCATTTCCAAGCTTTTTGTATTAAAACATAGTGGTGGCAATTTTTATCGCCCCGCCGGGGCTCCGCCCCGTCCCACCCCTTCAACAATGGATATGAGAACAATTTGTATACCGTTGGGGCGGGGATGGATATAAAAATTTAACCCGTCGCGGGGCACGGGGCGGGTATGGAGTTGCCATTAATCAAACGGGGCGGGGATGGATTTAGGTAAACCCGCTCCAAACCCGCCCCGTTGCCATCCCTAAATAAAAGGTAATTACTCAAAATAAATATATATAAATCTTTTCACCTTTGAAAATCACAGTCTCTCTCAAACAAAGACTTACAAGAGTATTCTCTCTTTTTCCATACAAATTGAATTTGCAAGTTCTCTTATCTCCTTTGTCTCCCTTTAATCCAAGTTCTGATTCTTATAAAAGTGCCACAAACCATTCACTAAGTTTGTTTAGCAATTTCATGATAAATCAGAGTCATAACCATACATAATATACCTATTCACATTAGGAAAATTAAACTAATAACATATGAAACATCGACTCAAAAATATATATAAATAAAAATAATTTTTTTTTTTTTTTTTTTGCACCACACTTCACCTGCATAAAATTTAATGGATTAAATTTTATTTTATTTTATTATTATTTTTTTTTTTGTGTGTCTTGTAATTCTTTGTTTGAGAGAGACATGATTTCCAGAGGTGAAGAGGTTTTAATTTTTTGGGGGGTAATTACCTTTTATTATTGTAATTAGTGATATTGGTAAATATTAAATCTAGAAACTAGAAATAGTAGCAATGGTTTTGTATTAAAAAGAAATGATGTAATTAGGTTTTTATAATGACCATTATATTATATCTAATGGTCATTATAGAAAGTGTGGATGAATTTTCTTACTCTACAGGGAGCAAGAGATCATTATTCATGATTTACATATTTACAAGTAATTGTACGTATATATTTGTAGGATAGCGTTCAATTGCTCCTAGGAGTAAGAAATTATATACTCACTTCTAATTGTAACTTAGGATCTAATCCTACGGTAATTAGTTAATTTACTTTTATTATTTTTATTTTAAAAAACTTATATTTTCTTTTCATACCATTAAATATGGTAATAGAAAAATGATAGAATTAGACAATTTATTAAAGAAAACAAGAATAAAATAATTTGACTATTTTTTGCCAAATTCGCAAGCAACCACTAAGACGAAGTAAAATTAATCTAAAATTAAAAGTCATCATTTTTAATTTTTTTTCCATACTTTATCAATTCTATTGATAAATTATGAAGAAAAAACTTAAGATTTGCAATGATATTATACATATTTTGGCATACTTTTACCGATCAACACTTTGAACATTTAATTTACCAAAAAATATAAAAAATAAAAAAACATTGAGAACATTTAGATAGATATATAATAATATATTAAGAATTGTTTTGCATAATTTTTCAAAAAAAAAATTAAGAAGCCAATAGTAGTCTCCTAATTCTAAATTAGTTGCTGAACAAATTCAAAATATTTTATCAAGTAGAGTATAAAACATGGATTAATCTTGAAATTTAAGTTTTGATTATAATCAATACTTCTCAAACAATCTTTATTTAATGGCCATTTTATTTATCTTTTTTGATTAACTTTTTTTTATTTTTGTTGCTGTTTGCAAATTTGTTTAATAAACAATTGCTAGTGATGGGGAAGTATTTTTTTATTGGATTATTTTATTTCTATTTCCTTTAATAAATTGTCTAATTCTGTCATTTTTCTTTAACGATATTTAATGGTATAGAAAGAATATGAAAAGAAAATATAAGTTTCTTAAAATGAAGGAAATAAAAGTCAATTAAGTAATTATCGTAGAATTAGATCCTACGGTTACAATTAGAAGTGACTCTATAATTTCTTACTTTCAGTTTAATACTACTGTGTAAATCATATACATGTAAATATGACTTAACGAGTAACTAGCATTACATTAAATCATATACATGGTCGCAAAGCCGCACGCGGTCACATATACAATGGGCCGAACAAAACCTCACCGTAATAGCTGAGAAAAGGAGACAATGGGGTGTGATGACGACAAATCGTCGCATACTATGCCACTTACGGCGGAGATCAAGGTGGTTCTTGGCTCTCCACCTTTCAGAAGACGCAAATCGTTCAAATCTTTATCACCCTCCTCCTCCAGCACGGTAAAATCTCACTTTGAGAAGCTACCCCACGAACTGTTCGTAGAAATTCTCCAAAGACTCACTCTCAGACTCACCCATCGCTGTAAGTGGGTTTCAAAACGTTGGAATAGTCTCATCTCCACTCCTCACTTTGCACAATGCTATATTAACAATCGTTCTTCTTTGGTCACTCATTTTGCCCTCTTCTGCCAAGTCAATACTCGAGAATGTCCTGTCCAACTCACATCCAAATCACCCATTTTTAAATCTCGTGGGTTTTCTCTGAACTTTCTTCCCTCTTCGAACCCAACACCATCTTCATCACATCAACATAAACCAGAGCCAATTCGTTTCTTAGCATCAAACAATGGCTTAGTATAATGCTCTGCGACCCTGAAGTTTCAGAGGGTTTACTATGTCTGCAACCCGCTCACAATGCATTGGGTTGAGCTTCCTCCACCACCTACTTGCCAAGAATGGGTTATCATTGGATTTGTTTGCAATCCATCTTATTCTTTGATAGTAGTACCAGCACAACTAGCTTCAGAGTGGTTCGAATCCACCAATTGGAACCACCACAACGTTCTGCCAATCTCAAATTGGAGATATTTTCTTCAGACACATGGAAATGGACTGAAACATTCATATCGACCCAAGCGCGTAACTTTACTGTGTCCCATTGCTGCCATCCCCGTTCTAATGCTGTGGTTTGCAATGGAATACTCCATTGGATGTCCCTTTATCATGGCAAGATTTTTGCCTATGATCCATTCAATAACACTGATCGATATAGTACCATCGAAAAGCCCAAGGACAGGAACACCAAGGTCAACAGACGCACCGTTATATATCACTTGGGAAAGTGCCAAGGACACCTCAGGTTTATTAAATATTATCCTCCCTTTCTCAGCATTTGGGAACTTAAGAACTACAATGGGCTTGAATGGTCCTTGGTGCACAAGGTTGATCTGAAGATTATGGAATCAGATGATCGCAGGATGCCGTGTAGGATAATCAACACATTATCAATACCGTCTCTTCATCCCATTAATGGAAATATTATATATCTACACAATGATAATCATCTTGTACTCTGCAACATTAGTAACAGAACTTTGAAAAGAGTATGTTATGTTCGCTATAATTATCATTGTTTTTCATTGTTCTTTCCCTTTGTGCTCCCAAGGTGGCCTACTCCAGTTCCTCAACTCCAGCAGAATGCACTCAGGTAATAATATTTTTAGTCCTCTCTTTGTTTATCTGGTTTGTGTTTCATTTGATTAAATTGTTTATGAAGTGTTTGATTTAGTTACATTGTTTGTAAATTAGGTGCTATTGTTCATATTCACTATTGCCCTTATATTTTAGTTCAAAATCTATTGTATTGGTAACTCGCAGTTAGGATCTCAGAATGTATTTTCTGTCAGTTTGTCTAATGGATGGCAATTAGCATTGAACCCCGTGGCTTTGATCCTATATTTATATGAATACTCAGTGAAGTTTAGTTAGTATTGATTCTATTGAACCCGTTAGCTATAGTGATATTGCAATTGATTTAAACTGAGAAGAAGATTAATCTTTTCATGGTTTATTTTTTATTTTATTTTATTTTGGTTTGTTTCCTTAGAACTGATGGACGAAACATCTGTGTCAAAACCTAGAACTTATGTTGAGGCCGTCGAGGATCCTGTCTATCCCCAACAGGAGGCTGCTGCTGAGGAACTGACTCGAGACGAACTTGTAGATAAGCAAGTGGTCTATGATGGGATGTTAGAAGTGGTCAATTTCAAATTATAGAAGAAAACACCAACAGTTGTCCTCTTGGGTCACTAGAGGTAGTTGATGAAGAAACATCTGGAGGTCAAGAGGAGGGATCAAGTACACAGGCTCAAGGCAAGGAGAGTCCGGCCACCTCAGTACTCAGTTCATATACTTCAACTCAAAACCAATCAGTGATATGGCAATGAATACCCATGACTAACGAAATTGCAACCAGTCTTGAGGAAGTCACCCTTTTGCATCCGGAGACCTTTCAGTGTTTGGATAAGAAGTTTCTTTTCTTCAAGCAATTTTGTTTTTGAGTCTGTTGGTAAAATACTTCTCATTCTACGTCAATTCCGTCATAGAGCGATTTCGGCATCTGAAATTCAGTTCATAAAATCTACCATGGATGACTTGAAGAAGGCAAATATTGAGATCAGATGGCTTGAAGGACAGTTGCATTTGGCCGAGATGAAGATGGCAAAGGAACAACTTGCTATTAGAATGCAGAGGATTCAGAGGGATATAGCTGAGGTTAAGGAGGTGGCTACACGTCTACAAGGGGAATATGTGACCACGAAGGAGAATTTTGATGCTATGAAGGACGTTGATGTGAATCAACTTGGTTCCGGGTAGCTGTAGCTTCTTGTTTGTGATGTCAAGACAATGTCTTTGTTCCATCAAATGAAAGAAACGCAGTGTCCATATGTTGCTAATATTTTCTTGAAAACTAGCTCTTCGATTTCTTGCAACGCTTTGCACATTGCCTATTCGTAGGTGTGATCTTGTTTCATCTACTAAGCATTTTTCGGCCTCCTTAGGAGGAACGTGTCGCCCCATGCTTGTAAGTGAGACAGTCCTTTCTGTAACTATAATATATATTCGACCTCCTTATGAGGAACACAATTTCCATTGTCCTTTTTCTGTAACTATAATATTTATATAGATTTGGTTGGCTATTTTGTTTTGATGCCATTGAACATGTCGCCCCATATATGCCTGTAAATGAGACAATTCTTAGAAAAAAACAGGGGAACCCAAAATACTGAATCCTTGGAATCTTAAGAATTTATGTCTACCTCTGATAAGCACCTAAAGGTAACCCATTACACTCCTTTATAAGCTCCATTCATTTCTGGCTTGAGAAATGAGAATTCTCAAAACCCTTTCAAGCATTTCAAATAATATCAAGAACTAACAATGTCCATTGTATGCTATGCCATTGTGCTGATTGGACTCGTTGCCATTGCACTAGCAATTTTCCATACAACTACGTCAGGTTGGTGCATGAATCATCACCAGTCGCCTGAGCAGAGGTCGACTGGCCACTTGAAGAGTTATGCGCGCAACCATATTTATACTCAACGTTCAAGTACAAGAAAGAGATGGCTGTCATGAATGAAGAACTTGTCAGTGTGACTGTCGTGTGCTTGTCAGGTTTCGAAGATAGTGAGGACGCGAGGCAACTGCCCCGTTGCAAGCATTTCTACCACACTCCTTGCATCGATACGTGGCTCTATTCTCATTCCAGCTGCCCTCTCTGCCGCACTCCTGTCGACAGACTGACTTCTAACCCCGAGGAAGCACCGTCAGGGAAGAATTCCCTAGTAGTCTTGCTGCATATCAGTACCTCAATTTGAGCTGTTTTGACCTTCTATTCTTTCTTTAAAACCCCACCTGCAGTGAGTTGCATGCTTCTCCATGTTTGATATATATATATATATATAGTGTATATGATTGATTGTATCGTATACAGTATTTGTAGCATTAGGAGTTGGAACTATTGGAATGAACATTTCCATTGAAGCAACAAATATTATATTTACAGTATATCTACGTACATATACATATATACTTCGTTAAATATGAAGCTAACAAGGTGTTCAGACACAAATTCATCGATGTCAAGTAACTCTGGTTTTCCTTTCATCCCCAATAAATTTTTTTTTTGTTCTCTCATATTTAACACTTTCTTTTTTTAAGTTACCTAGTTGTTCAACTGGTTCATATAATAATTCAACTTGGGCAAACTCAGTGCAAAATATTCCCACTTGTCCGGAATGTTTAGATTTACCTCCACGTGTTGAGAGGTTGTTTTCTTTATTTCAAACTACTACACTAACAAAACTGGAGTTTGAGATCAGCATAGTTATTTTATGCGAATTCCAAATTCTGACATATAGTATAGCAACTAATGCTGACCTATTCGTCAATTGAACATAGAAAAGAGAGTGAATTTAGAAGATGTACGGAAGATATTATCCATGGTGGTTCTAAAAAATGAATTTCAACACAGACAATCCAACACATACATGATATGTATCCATGGTGGTTCTAAAAAATTGTTGCTTAGTTTATCCCCTCCAAACAGATTAGGGATGTTAATTTGACCGACCGTCCCGCCTGGTTTGGGATTGCCCTAATCAAATTAGGAGCCGATTTGAAAAAGAGAGTTTAAAACCCGCAAAGTCCGAATCCGCCCGGATTAATAATTAATATATAAATATATATTATTTTATTAGCTACAATTTTTTATTTTGCTTTATTTATTACAATAATTTTAAATTTTAACAATATTTTTGTTATTAAGAGTGTTAAATATTTTACCATACTACAAAAATATATATATATTATAAAATTTGTCTTAAATTTATTCAAATTTAAATTAATTTTTCTCAAAAAGATATATATATATATATTGGGACATCGAATCCCAATCAGCAACAGAAGGGATACTTCTTCTTTTTTTTATTAGGCTTACGAAAACATGTGAATATTACCTATAATGTAGTATTCTAGGTCAATAAATATACACTATTTTGTTTTTTATAATAGAAAATAACAACCAATCATTGACCAGAATACTACATTTTCGACTCTTAAAGTACTGAATACTTTCTCCTAATTGATTGCATGTCTAATTTGCTCATGAAATTTACCTCATCTAATAGATCATGAAATACACCTCATCTCTGAAACTCACCTACTATAATGAACCATGAAATCTACTTCATCTAATAGTGGGTGAACATTCATGTGATTGTTTATCCCTCGTAACAATAATAATAATAATAATATAAGGTATGCTTTGGAAGCAATGAATCGACTTTTTAAAATTGAAATTGAAGAAAATTTAGTTTAAATTTTAAATTAAATATTTTTCATAGTTCGCAATCGTGGTCTCGGTATAACGGATTCGAACAAATATCAGTGTAAACCGGCTGAACCGACCTGTTCATAGAGATATGTAACGTTATCGGACCCTTGAAAAAGAATTACGAACCGACAAACGTATCGATTGTAAAATCATAATTTTCACCCATTTTAAATTCAAAACACCAATTATGTACTCCCAAACTTAAGCCAATTATTGGTCGTTAACCATTCTCCACATGTTAACCATTTTGGTGGACTAGGCTAGTGATAGCCAAGATGTGGTTACCATTTTAATCGGGCCTAAACAAACTTATGGTTTGGAGATTGGGCCAAACTACAGTGTTCATTGAGCTAGACCATTGTAGTCTTCCGTGGCTTTTCTCTGGTAAGATCAATGCTTAAATTACATAAATAATTTAAAGGTCTTGGTTCACTGAATCGGTCAATTAAGTTGAGTTGCAACGGAATCAGGCTCTAGCAACTCATTGTCACTCAAAAATCACTTGTGATTAAGAGGTGACTCGATATTAGGGGTGGCAATTTATGTTCATGGATCATAATCGTTTCGTATCGATATAAGGATGTTATATTAAATAGATATAAATTCAAATTCAACTCATTTAATAATCGTGTCAAAAACCCTCAACGCTAATCCAACCCGTTTATTAAACAAGTAAACGTGTTAACTCGTTTAATGACCTATTTATTAAAACGAGACATTTAATATTTAATTAAATATTAAATAATAGAAAAAATTTGTCATAATTAACTTAAATATTCAAAATAAAAATAAAATTCATAAGGCATAGACAAGGTTTATGTTAAAATGATTTGACTATCTATGGTAATTGAATTTAAACAGGTAATATATTACGTAGGTTTATTCACGATTTATAACATGTTGAGTTAAATGGGTCATAAACGGGTTACACGAACTGAACCCCTCAACCCTAATGCGACACGGTTAAGTAAACGAATTAATCGTGTCGACCCTTTTATAACGCAAACTCATTTATGCCAGATCTAAACCCTTTTAACTTGTGTCGTGTTCGTATCGTATTATCGTGTCATGTCATAATTTGTCACCCCTACTCAACACAAAAGCGGAGAAATTGGGTTTGACCCGAACCGATTTAGCCGAGTCGAGTGTGAAAATTTGTAGAAAGCCTAGGGTTTTTTTTTTTTTTTTTTCACCCTACCAATATCCTTTCTGTCATCTTTCAACTTCCGGCGGAGGTGCTTCAGTTGGTGGAGTTGGACTACTGTCCTTTTATCTGTTAGTTTTTATTCTGTTTCCCAAAAAAAAAAAAAAAAAAAAAAGATTTTCATACCGTCTAGAATTACACAAGAACTACAAGTTTTATTTGGATCTACCAGATTTTCAAGTTGATATGAATTTTCATGAAATAGCTAGGTAATTCAATCTTGTATTTGTATAACTTGTTGTATAACCGATCTTTTATTTATTAAAAAGGTATTCTAATTAGAGGACCTTCCACTCGTATCAGTCTCATAACGCGTGTCAAATTTAAGTCGTACACTTGCACAATTCAGGGATTCGAACCCATACTTGATAGTCGACACATTGCGCGCGCTACGCGCGCAAGCAAAAGCACTATATAAGTATAACGTGTTTCATCCATCTAATATTGTTTTGGATCCTATCTCACTACACAGTGTGTTAAAGTGTGTCACGTATTCTTGTACAATGTATTAATAACATGTATTAGATAGATTAATACGTACCCAGAAAAAAAAAATAATTAATTAATTAATACGTGAAACACGTTAGACAAAGCCTGTAACATGTATTAGATAAACTTTTATGCTCATAAGTTATTTAATGGTATGCATTCAATCTTTTTATTTAACCTGTCTCACGTGTTAACTTGTATTTATTTCACATCAAAGCCTATTATTGATCGCTAATTTAGCAACAAGTCTAAATTATTAAGCCTTTACTGTCGACAACTTAAAATCATAAGTTATTAGTTGTATTCTGTCCAAAAAATAATAATAAATACAGTAAAAATTAGTTGTATTAAATTATCTTTAAAAGTTCAATAAATAAAAATAAATAAAAAAATCATTAAAAATCATTAGAAACTCATATTTTTTAAACTCTGTAATAGAAATTTGCGTATCTGTGAATTTGAGGCCTTAAGACCTATGTGTGAGGTGAAAAATAACTCACAAATCATGATTTGAGCTCAACTAGTTACATGCCCCTCCTATATTTTATTCATGAAGTGAATGGATTGAGTTGGAAAAATCTCTACAAGTTTGATTATTAAATGAGTGGAATTTGAGAAAAAAATTTGTTCAATTTGTCTTATTGTCATAGCATGCATGTTAAAAAATAATAATAATAAATAAATAATAAAAAATAAAAATTTGGATAAATTTCACTTCCCTCTCAAGTTTATCAATATTTCACGTAAAATCCTCTAACGTTTTATAATCTCATTTATATCCCTATCAGTGACAACCGTCTAATTTGATAATAGTAATGTGTTATTTTACCTTTTTCCAAATGAATTGTATATTGATTAAAGCTACGATTTCATGTATTAGAAGGGCAAACTAACCTTCTATCAAATTTCTCATGCGGACATCAGCAGAATCCGTTAAGTGCCTAGCGACAGTAAAGAATATATTACATAAATCAAAGTCAGGGAAGGAGAGGTATAAAACGTAAATGGGTTTTCTGGGGATATTGACAAACTGTAGAAAATATAAATTAAATTTAACACCACCCCCCCCCCCCCCCCTCCCCCCCAAAAAAAAAAAAAAATTGGGTT